TTGTTGGCTCGCGCCGTTATCAGTGTATAGTTAAAGCTTTCGCTGAGGTTTTCCTGTTTTGCTGGGCGCAGGTGGCCCATTAATTAGCGGTGCTTTCAGTTCCTCTTTTCCTCGCTAGCTACCGCCGGTGGAGTTCACTGGCTGCGAGCTTCCCCGAAGCCCCGTGCTGACCGAACCTGACACTCTGCACAAATAAGGCATTATATGTAATATCTGGCTTTTATTAGTTTCTTGTGAACTGTATTCAAATTTTGAAGCAGAGATCCTGCCCTAATTCATTCATTGGCCCAGCACCATCCTGTAGTCTATCGAGAACATTGTGTTTTTGTAAATTGGCTTTCAAATACTACATATTTTAGTTACTTTTTAAAAAATAAACTTTGATTTTATTTATCTCTTGTGAGATGGCTTCTCTCCCAAAGAAAGGAAGGGAGAGCTGAAACCTTGGATCACATTCTTTATTCTAGAAGACCAGGAGATTGTATTACAGAAAGTTTTAAAAAAATATTTTATAACCCAAAAGGGAAGCACTGGTTGTGGGTTTCTCACAGACCAGAGTCCATTGCATTATGCAATGTGAGGCACCCCCAGAAAGATAGGTGGTGGCAGCAGGAACTATCCAACAGCTACATCAGGGCAGGAGGCAGGGCTAGATGTGCAAAAACAGTGGGAAGAGGATATTTGGAACCTCCAGTCTTTCACCTTATAAGCTAAGCCATGATGCTACAAAGCATAATGAAATAAAATCACAACAATATAGGACTAACAAGCCAAAATATTAAAAGCCATCAGATGGGAACAAAGAGAATCTGATTTCTCATAGTGACTGAGTTCACCATCAATGTTATTAGGGAAAAGACCCTTTCTTGTTTATCCATCTTTCTAGCCGATTGACTGATTGATTGATTGATTGATTGATTATGTGCCATCAAGTCAGAAATTATTATCAGATTTATACTTAGGCTTATAGAACAAAAATAGCATCTTGAGGTGAACCTGGAACATATATACCTGGTTCATGATTAGTGCTTGTCTTCAAACACACACCAAAAAACAGTTGCTGGAATTTTTGCACTGGATTAGTTTCTGAACACTTCAAAAATGGCCAATGCAGGGTATTTTATGGTAAGCTAAGAAACAGGTTACTGTGGTAGGATCTGTCCCCTTATATGGTGTGCACTGATCAAACCTAGACAAGGTACCCCTTGGCATAATCTTTGATTTTCAAAGAGCAATGTATTAGAACAAAAAGGGCACATCAAGACACTCTCAGAGATTTTCCCCTAAATTTGAAATACTTTCTATTTTCATTCTATTACCAGCCTATCCAAAAGTTTCCTTTCCTCAAATGAAAGGTCTCTTCATTACAAGCAATAAATGTTTGGACCCAAATTTCTGAATAACATACAAATTAAATAACCAACAATTTTTATAATGCAAAGTAGATGCAGTATACATCAGGAATTCACTTTTGAACTAGGAATGGAAATTGAAAGAGATTATCTTTCAATCTTTCAAAAGTCCATTTCTAGGGTCAGCTTAATTTCAGTACTTTCCTTCAAGACTGTTTCTATAGTAAATAAAATAATGGAAAATAATAATGTACAGTATATGATCAAAAGTACCCTTAGCAGCCAACAGAAAGGGACTAAAAACTTTGAAGTTTCTTATGTAGATACATGAAATTGAAAATTCTGCTAGATTGTGTATATTGAAATTGTTCATAACATAAAAACATATCCTTGCTTTGATGAGTTAGTTATGCTAATTTGTAATATAATAAACTCATATTATCTTGCACTTTTTCTTTTTTGATTAGTTCTACTTTTTTGTATTGTTTGGGCTTTCACTTCAAAATGGGTCTTTGCATAGAAACCAATAGATGGAGCAAGATGAGAAGATAACTATGGATCCATTTTACTATGGTTTCAGTTTACCATTTTTTTTTAAAATTAAATGTCAGGGTTCTTTATGCATTAGACACCAACTTGTGATTTTTTGTCCCATTTTGTTACCAATTCATTTTTGAAGCTCTGGACTCATACTACTGAATCATAAAAATTCAGTGTTATAGTTGATTGCAAATTATTATTTACAAAAGCCTTAAAGCTGCTCATCAAACAAGGCACTTAGTTCCATTCTTCCCATACGATACAATATATTATTTCTATTTAAAGTTTAGTATTTCTGTCCAAATGTACTGCTCCTAATAAAGTGTCATTGTGAGTGGTCAGTATACATATTTAAGAAATGTATTAAAAATATGCTAGATGTTGTCCTGTTGGTGATAAGTGTCCATTCTAATTATATCCCGCTGGTGCCAATGGGCATACTCCTGACTTAAGCCTGTAAAGAGTTACATGTGGTTGTCATCTTCCAGATACGTTTTCAGAATTCTCAACCATGAGTTGGGATATGAAGTCATCAGATAAGGGAAGGCTTGTCTAAGGAATCAAGAGATTCTTATCTTTACATGTCACTCCAAACTGTCATTGCAGAGTTAATTAGAGTAATTTCTTCCATTTTGCTATAATGATGATCATCTCAATCATTCAATATTAGTAGGCAATGCCATTGTCCTACTTGAGCAAAACATAGACAGGTAGTCCTTAGAACTGGGACCATTCTAAGGACTTTGAAAGGCTCAGAGGCT